GCTGGGCCGCCCTGAGGGGCGGTGTCCGGTAAGCGGGGCCGGGCACTGCCGCCCCTCGGCCGGCGGGGCGGCTGCAGCGGCTCCTCAGCCGGGAGCTTCTGTGGACGCGACCTGGAGGCCCTTCGCCGGTTCCTCTGCCTCAGGGCCCGCTGGCGGCCGAGGCGGTTGAGCCCCTGGGCTGCGGCCCGTGTATGCCCAGGAGGCGATTCCCTTCGCCGGTTGTCACGGGCACAGCCTTGGTGGGAGCGGGGTCCACCCCTTTCTGTGGCTTTTTGCCAGGCAACGCTGGCACCACCTTCTCTGCTTCTTGCCACCTGCGGCGAGTCAGGCCCGCCAGGCTCCGCGTCGTTTTTCCTGCCGGCGGAGCTGTGCTGGGTGCTTGCACAGCTGAGATGAAGTTTCACTGCCTCTATGCTTCTCTCCTGGTCTCTGAAGCCAATTACTCCATCAAAAAAGAAAATCAAATTAGTCTGATGCTAATCCTTGATAATATGTATTAGCTGGGATTTTGACAGCTGCTATGTCCCTAATGTGTGTAAAAGGATTTTGAAATTAATTTGTTCTGGTGTCTTCTCTGGTATTGAACTAACAGTGATGAGTTTATAACCACAGGTTTGCTTGCTCCTTTTTTTTCTTTCATTCTGTTTGGAAACCATGGGGTTTCCTTTCTCCCCTAGTTCCCTGAGGTCCCTCAGTCCTTCAGCAGTTCACACTCCTTGTGATTTAGGAACTGTTTTGGCTACTTCCTGAAATTCCTGATGTTTGTTTTCAGTAGTGTGTCTTTATCAGAGTACCTCTCTGTCTCGACAAGGGAGCTCTTTCTGAGCTTGCTCCTTTCATGGTCCATCTGCTAGGTCACCACAGCCAAGCATTGATAAGAGGAATGCAGAGCTGCCAGAAACCGCGTGCTGCTGTGACATAAGCTGCTGCTGTTGTCAAATGGCTTGGAACACAATGTGCTGTCATGAAAGTAGGAGCTGGGAGGCCTGGGCAGATCCAAGGATTTGATGTGGTGGGTTTCAAACACTGCAACCATCTTCTGCAGGAGACCCTGAATTCTCTGTTCTCCTTTTCTGAGCCCAAAATGGAGTGCATTCTTCAAGCAACACCTAAATTAATTGGTTCTCTGTATGGGTAATTTGGTATATTTTAATGACCTAGGATATTCAGATTAGGCATAATGAGCTAATGGTGACTTCTGGTTTAACACTGTTCACCTCTTAAAATGTAACAAACATCTCAAGAGAAAATTACTCTGTTGCAATAAAACAGGAAGTCAGGGAGGTGTTTCTCTGTAAAAGCCCTTTAGTGTAACTATTTGACTTAAAATGGACAGCTACCATAAAATTAGTTTAATCTGCTCTGGTGCATGCTGTATTTCAGGCATAATGTCCCTTACTCAGCTGTATCACAGCAAAAGAAGTTTATACCTTCCCCCACCTGCAACAGTATAATCTTCACTGAAGGTGATCATTAGAGGTTGTTCCTTGAAGACTAAAGCTGTTGGGAACTGTAGGTAGAAACACCATAGGTGTCCACTGTGCCTGAAGTACTACAGGTGACATCAAAAATCGTTTCCTAGCAGGTTCAGGGACTTACATAAATACCCATACATGGAACACACATACTGGCTTCCATGTGTGGACATCAGGGAATGCTTATTACTTAAAATTTCCTGCAGACATTCAAAGAGAAAACTAAAGATGTTAAAGTCCAAAGTTTGTCAATGTGAGTATTAGTCTTTCCTTGGTTTGGTAGCTAATAGCTCTAAATGAGGTCAAAGAATTTTTATATTTGTTGTGAATTCACAAGTTCAAAATCTTTGCTTATGTACTTATAAAACCAAATTATAAGTTTATAATTAGAAAATTTATAAAATATTATTATGTTGGAAAAGAACCAGTATTCTCCTTATGTCAGGAGCTGGGGAGCAGGCTGAGGGATGAAAAGCCCTGCAACACAGCATGCGTAATTTGTATCAACTTCTGAAGCAGACCTTAAAGCTAAGGTCTCTTTCAGATTTCAGTCTCAACCATGATGGAATTGCATGAGAAGACAATTTGCCTTCCTACAGCCTCTTGATGTAATTGTAGATGGGCCTTAAAACAAAAAAGGGAAAAGAAAAAGCAGGATGCTACAAGTTAATTAAAATATCCATGAATCTGATGATAATGAAAGATTTACTGTGGGCAAGTAGGAACACCTTTCCACGTTTTTCAGGCTGGTTCTAACAGGCTTCAGCACCGATTTGCAGTGCCTGGTGTGAAAGAATAAAGAAATCAGGAGTGACCAAGGTGCTCAGATAGGCGAGGATCCTTGCGCAGCTTCTCTTCAAGATCAAGGTATTTCTGTGTAGCTGTCTGCTTTTCCCTAGAACAAGAAGGGGGATATCAGAGGAAAACTGAAGCAGGACATCAAGTAGAATATTTTACAGAATAGCTTCAGTGCTGAGTGCCTGGAGGGCTGACCGGTAGATGTCCCCAAGGCACCGTACTCAGGAGAACATTACCTGTCGAGTCTCAGCTCTAGAGTGTGGATATGGGACATGGTTTCAGAGTGATGGGTGAGGAAGTCATCCTCCTCCTCTGCGCTCAGCCGGTTCCGGTTTTTCTGAAACCATTGGTTCATCTTCTGTAGCTCTTCCACCGCCTGTTGGGGGAGCCAGCAACCAGAAGTCAGGGTAATTAAGAGGAGAGCGAGCGGCAAAGGCACACAAAAATGCAACTCAAAGTTCAGGGAGCTGAGATGAAGGAAATGGAGCTGGTTTATTTTCATGGGAGACAATAAGTTTGAGATGATGTCTCACAGAGCAAGAAAACAAGGGGAATCAAAACATGCAGAACAGCAAGAGGCAGCAAAACCTGAATGCGTTGCCTCACTATAGTCAAGAAGCACTGGAGAACAAAATCAGTTCTGATTGAGACAAGGACTAAATTTCACCCTGGGGCTATTTTGTTCTTTGACCTCACATGACAAAAAAAAAAATTTACAGGCATGTTTAGGGCTCCCTTAAAGTAATCAAAGGAGGTTTGTTTCTTGCCTGCTGTCACAATGAGATGTGTGTTACCCTCCTGCTAGCACAGAAGAGACTCCGGTAACATGCACATCCTGACACGAGGCTGGGAATACCTGTTCAAAGCGAGCCTGGATGATGTTAACTTTATCAATGAGACGATGCTTCAAATCAGCCAGGCACTCATCTCTGACACACAGGGCCTGCGCCTTGGTCATTTTCTCTGGGTGGCCAATCTGAATGAGGAAAGGTGCCAAATAATCCAGATCCTGTTTCTTCTGGAGAGGAAAGGACAGAAAGAGTTATGGTCCCATTCACTTGCTTCCCCAAATACCCCATGCAAAACAAAGGACAAAACTCCCCACCCTCCCCCCAGCAAGGAAATAATGTTTCTTCTTCCTATAGTTTGATAAAAACTACCGCTTTGCATTAGTTTTGCATACCAACACTTTCCCAATGCGGTTTTTAGTCTGAACTTTATTTTCTATCATCTTTTTTAACATTTCTCCTAATTTCCTTGTGTAGGGATGTCTCTTACACAAAACACGTTATCCACTGAGGTGCAAGAAGGGCTCTACAAAATGCATTTGTATTTGGACAGAAAGAGATGAAGACAGGGTATTTTGAGCAATACCAGCTTGGATGCTGGCAAATAACTGGTTCTTGGATCTTTGCCCCTATTTGTGTTACACGCTAGAAGTTTGGTGCGAGAAACCTAGTATCACCTTTTATAACCTCTCTATTCAGGAAATGTCAGTCTAAAACCAAGAAGCATTTTGAAGATCTTAAAAAACTGCAAGTAATTACTCTTGATTTTTTTTATTTGTTCAGAACATTCACAAGGTATTAATTCCTCAACAGAGATCCTGGAACAAAATTGGCTTTGCAAGTAATAATGAAAACGAAGGAAACAACAAATTCACACAAAGAACTTCATACTTGCCTAACAAAATAAACCCTGGCTAGAAAGATGCAGTTTGGATTCTATTATCATACTCCCCCCATATCCCTATTATCAACTAATCCTTGTTAATTATTTTCTTTATTAACTAAATAAAATAAAACAATAATCTTTCTTGGTGATGTTTTTCCAGAAAGTCAGAAGGTCATAGCATGATCATGTTATATTTTCATGGGAAGTCAGTTGAAGCTGTGCTGACTTACACCTGCTAGGGATTTGGCACAGTATATTTTAATGATACTAAAAGCTATTCAGAGATAATTCCTCAGACAGAAAAAGCTTACTCTGGATTTCTTTGTGTACATGTAATAAATACTGGGATTAACAAAGTCTACCTACCATGGCTTCATACTGCTGTCTTCTCTTTTCATTCCTTTCTGTATCATAAATTGAAAATGACAATTTAACAGCACTTTCTTCATTCTTACGGATCTTCAAAATATTTAACACCTTCCAAAAAAAATCGGAAAAAAGACCCCTCAGCTTCCCCACAAAATGTCAGCACTTTTACATGCCTGACATCCTAACAGAGCAGATGTTGCATACAAGAACTGTAGCATAAGGTCTGTACAAACGTGTATCACATCCTGCTGATAGATTAAGCCAACATGGTCTTATTTTTAGATTGATGCTCTGTATTAAATTCTTGAACACAATTATTGATATTATCTGTTAATAAAGCTCTTCTGGAGTCATAGTCTTGCCACTACTTTTGAAATTGCACTGATAGCTTTGGCTTATTTCTTCGTCTTAATAGGATATACAGCCCAAACAGCATGAATATTTTGTCTGTGATACATCAAAACTGAGAAATTTGGCAAGGTAGTTCATGAGGTCACAGTGAACTAGCTTCAAATTTCTGAAAAAAAAGGTGGAATTTTGCAATCGTGTTCTTATTATTAGTATTCTGTGCTAATATAGTTGAGCATTCCCTCTCCTTCAAGGGCTATTCTTCCTCCCAAAA